GAACTTTAATGTAGTCGTAAACAAATATTGAAAAGTTTTTTCGCCTAAAATTCTGAGAAATTTTGGAAAAGTAGACTATACATAAATATTATAAACATAATCAAATATGGAACCTCGCTTAATGAGCACCTCACATAACGAGCATTTCGCTTAAAGAGCAAAATGAATTGTAAGAAAAATGCAATGTTTCGCACAATGTGTGACGATGAGAAGAGAAGTCCCGGATTGCGCGCCTGCTACATCATTTTTAATATTATGTATATTTTTGAATATGTTTTACTATACGAGTAAAAATCCGAAAATTTTGGATTTAACGAATTTAATCGAGGTTCCACTGTATATCAATATACAAATATAACCCTATATAATTAACAAAACATTAAATATGGAACTTACCCCTACTTACTCCCGGACTTACGAACAAAATTCTAAATGCACTAACTTATTACAGGGAGATAAAAATGATTAAATAAATTACTGTCCAAACAAAAAATGTTAATTTCTTTAATAAAATATAATATTTTTGGATCTGTTTTGTTGCATTTGTTTCTTTTGTCGTTTTTTATTAAATAATTGTGATGCATTGAAAAGTATTTGTAAGTAGGTAGGTATTTTTTCAAATGTATGCAGTCAGTAATACGGAATTTAATATAAATAAAAGTAATAACCATGAAAAAGTATGGTAAGATAAGTATAATTTAAAATTTTTAAAATTAATAATAAAATATTATGAATTTTATTAATTCAGTGATCTATATAAAAAAAAACCTCGATTAACGCGGACTACTCGAAACGCATCCTAAACGCTAAACGAAATTTAAAAAAATAATAAATATAATTTTAAATAATACGGTATTTCTATACTATATTTTTTGAAAAAAATCCACATTTAACATTTGATTTAAGAATGAATAATTGTATACTCATAATTATGAAAGAAATAGCATCTGGGAGAAACGAACTGATTTCAGAAAATTATAAAGTACAGTTGGAAACAATAAAGTTCAAAATTTAACCATAAAAAGCATAAAAAGATATACATTATGCGCAAAAATTCTCACTTCTAAATGCAAATCGTTCGATTGAAAGTATATTTAAACAAATCTTTCAGCTAAAAGCTATCAATAAAAAATAACAGCATTTTATTACAAAGAATAAAGCAGTGAAATTAAGATGAATCTTAAATCTAAAGTTTTGAAGAAAGCTCAGAAGATGATGATATTTTGCCCAAGGAAAAATTATGTAATATTATAAAGCAATTCAGTTATATATTTTGTAAAATACGATTTCGCGCAAGACTACTTTTTTTTAGAAACATAATACAGTGTTATATGGATATAATTGGATTTATGGGTAGAAAGACTTAGGTCGATAGCCCTTTGGTTGCATTGTAACTAATAAAGATTATTAATGTTGGATGTATACTGGTAATAAACTTATATTATTATTTATAAATTTTGTGAAGAAATAATAGCTATAGAGGATAAGAATTGGCCAATGCAAGTTTGTTGTAAATCAAATTTGGAACGACCTGTCTGTCGTGCATTTGTCAAATGCCACATGCATTTGTAATTGGTAAAAAATCTGTTTGCCTACAATGGGCATGCAAATAGACACGGCCGGCCGACAGAGTTATTGTATTACATGTGTTAACCTATTATTCTCATTATTGTAATGCAATGTTGCAATTCAAATGAATGAATGCCACATTGATTCCCAATGTTATAATTTATATAAAAAACTCTTTACAAATACAATCGGATATGAATCTACAAAGAAACTAAATGATATACAATTTAAAACATGCAGTTTCGAAACCGAATTAAATTTTCAATCCCGCTCACAGATTGGCAAGTTAATTAAATGGCAATTATGTTTTCCACTTGCAACAGCACAATTAAATCCAGTTCAGCCTTTCCAATCTATAACAATGAAAAAAATTAAAACAATTATGTTTAGGTAACTTTGCGAATTCGCTGTTTATTCGCAATAATTTTTAAGAATAAAAAGAACAATAAATTGCTTCATTTAATACAAGTAGGTATTATAATTTTTTTAATAATTTATTGAGGAAATATTAATTAATTTTTTGCATTGCATTGAGTACTATTAATTGCATGATTTTTACAATAATTAAAAATATTACTATATTTTTCAAGTATAAATCATTCATTATATATATTTTTATTGATTATAATATTTAATAATTGAGTATAGCACAACCTCACGTAATGAAGCCTCGATTAATGCGGATTCACTATAGTACGGTTTGAACATTTCACAACAAACCCTAAACCTCTAAAATTACAATTAAATAAAACTTCACATAATAAGTTCGAAGGATGACATATAGAACGTCTATATCGACAAATCCATATAACAAGCAATGGCTTGATAACTGTTATGGGGACTCTTCTCCGTCGAAACAAATAGTAGAGACGTGGTTTGCTGATTTAAAGCTGGTCGTACAGACACAAATTATGCTGAATGCTCTGGTCGCCCAAATTCGGCAATTGTTGCAGAAAATATAAAAAAAAAGTCCACAGAATGGTTTTGACCGATAGTAGATTGAAGTTGTACGATAGCTGACACCCTGAAGATATCAGAAGGCAGTGTATTCACCATTTTGATCATGAGAAAGCTTTGTTCGAAATGGGTACCAAGCTCAAAGTGGACCAATAACAACAACGAGCTGTTTGGAGCTGTTGAAGCGAAATAAAAAGGATTTTTTCATGCGTGTAACAATGGATGAAACTTGGATCTACCACTACACTCCATAGTCAAAACGGCCGTCAGCTGACCGTTCTACAAGAAAGGTATCAACATGTTAGAGAAGCGTTGAAATGAATGTATCACTCTTGAAGGAGACTATGTTGATGAATAAAGTCGAATATTGTCCATAAGTTGTTGTTTTATTAGTCATCCTACGAACTTATTGAGTGAGGTGTTATATGATTTTATGTATACTTTTTTGTAATAATTAAATAATAAAATTATTATTTTCTCACGTGCCAATATGAGTAATTAATTAAATGTCTTGTTTATTGACTGAAATAATTTAAGTAATTACCTATAAATATTAAGTGTATTGTTTAAAATTCAAGATTTTATGAATAATAATTTCAAGATAATTTATATCATTTACATAATAAGGTTATCAGATGTGAGAAACACAAGGCTAGTTTTATTTGCTTATAATTAGGCCATTATGTATAAAATACTTGAGATGCAAGAAACTTTCACCAGCTTTGTATTTATGCGTGACACAATATTTTTTAATGCTGTTATCATCAAATGATAGTAATAATAAATAATTAACAATATCTTTAATGACTGCATGTTCCATACAAACAAATAAATTAATACAACCTTAACATGTTTTGACTGTTCAATTTCTTCAATTAAACAATAAATTATTATAAAGATCCAAATACCAAAAACAACAATAAATAAATATTCACTAAATTTAGATTGAACAACATCAAAATAAATTCTAAAAAATAGTATACATCGGTATACAATCAAGGCTCATTTTGTACTGTTTATTTTTATGCGGTTTTATTAATGTCTTAAATCAGTCTGTGATATCAGCAAATCCAATTACCTAGAGGTATTACTATATATAGAGTATGAAAACAAGAATAGGATAGATTCAAATGTTATGTACATAAAGTAACACTGTTAATTTTATGATATATTGTAGATTTACTATTTACTATTTAATGTAATCTCTAAGATTATGATAATACAATATAATAATTCAAAGTTAGGTAGTAAATGGACTTAACACCAGATCAAAAAGTAAAACACGAGAGATTTAAATCAAAATAAAATTGATTGCATTTTTTGTTAAACCCTTACCCTTGTTAATATTTTTTATTTATTAAATCACAGTTTTAGTGATTATTATTTATATTTCATTATGACTATTTTATATTTCTGGCCACTAGATTATGAAATTTATTTAAAAAAAAATAATAAAAGTTGTTATTTATAAGAATTATAAAAAATATATTTCTTTTATAAATTTAAAAACATCATAAACATCTTCAGCTTTCTCGATATCATAGCATTCTTGTAATGAAATTCTTGAATATTACGAAAATTCTAGGAACGATTTTCTAATGGTCAAGTTCCTTCTCTTCGTTTTCACTTCTCAAAAAGTTTTCTGATTTTGAATAAATTTTTAATTGTATTTTAATATATTTATATGTAACAATAAAAAACATTTTGTAATCCATTATTGTCCGGTTAGAAAATTTCAAAATATATTTAATTTTAAAGAAAATGGCGATAAACCACACTAAATGGTTGTGTACTTAATATAATCTGATAAAATACAAAATTCCCTTAGACCTGGCTTAAAACTGAATGGTATATATATGTAGCAGTAGTCCTTAGAGGGTTAAATAGGCAAAATAAAAATAAAATCCAAAAAATGGATACACAAAATTATTTTTATATACACGAATTTTCACTTTTTTGTCCTTTATACCTATATTTTCTTTTTGTGCGGTTTTTGTATGTTTTTAGTCCGATTTCAAAATGTATTTATGAATTTGAAAGAGCCGCCTTTATCTCATAAATTATAAAATATAAAAAAAAATCACACAAAGTTTATCTATTAATATATATATTTTTTTATTTTATGTTAGAATTTATTTATTTATATGTATAGAATGTACTTTTTTTTCTTATGTATTGATGTATGGCCAATAAATTATTATTATTAATTCATAAAATCTATCAATAAACAATAGATATTTTTGAATAAGTCATATTTTATCTATTTTAGATATAAAAAGTAATATTATTTCGTAAAAGCAATGACGTTGTTACGATTTAAATGAAATACATTGTGAGATTAATGCATCAACTGCGAATTAAATTGATCCTGAAAAGTTCAAGACTGCGTTCAATTAATGTAATTCTCCGACGCTGCGCAAGAATATACTATGATTAAAAAGTAAAAAAACTTACAGGAAATGTTGTATTTTAAAGATCAATGAAGTGTGAATGAATTAAAGGTACCAATTGGATAGTTTAATCAAAAAGTTGTTCGGCGTTCAACCTTATTAAAATGCTTACATCGAAATGGGTACATGCATGCAACGAAAACGGCTGTAAGGTAGGTAGGTAGGCATAACTGAGCGGAGTGGAGTGTGTAGAATGGGATTTGTGGATTTTTCGAAACCGATAAGTAAAAAGTGCGGATGGAGGAACCTTGAAGGAATAGAGCGAAGTAGTTGGGTTTGTGGTATAAATACCGGGCAGGGATGGGGATTGAGGATTAGTAACAATTGTGTATCGCACAAGAAAACAGAATCCACGAATTCTAGGCACTCTATACACATTACTACAATGGCTTTCTTTAAGGTAAGTCCTACTGTTTTTACGTACATTTATTTCGTATAAACATATTTTTTTAATAAATAAAAGAAATATATTAATAACAAATATTTACATTAAAAAAAAAATATATGGAATTTGTAAGCAATACGATTTTTAATATATAATTGAAATATTTAGGAAATTTAAAGCATACATACCCAAATATATTTAATTAAAAAATGTTCAGTGTGAAATATTTGTTTTATAATAAAAAAATATCTATAATTATAATGAATAAACGTATTTTAATCATTTATTATTAATTAATAAATTAAACAATTTATTTATTAATCACATAAAAAAAACAATAATACATACTTGCATGACAAAAAGAATTATAAAATTTGAAGAAAAAGAACTATACATTAAACACTCGTGTTTACTACGTAAGTAATTTAAATTGACGTGCAATTTACAGTTACTAAACAATTTAACGATTTCACGCAACAAATAAACATTGCACAACCATGTGTTTACATGCTATACAATGTAGTAAAAATGTAAAAGAAATATCAAAAAAATAGTACCAAGAGATAATAGATCAAAACTTTCTTCACGGCATGCAATGTTAAGTACAACAAATTCATAAGAATCCAACAAAAAAAATATACAAACTTATAACAAATATTACGTTTTATACATTTTCTCAAATTTAAATTTCTTGCACATACCAAATGCAATTTAATTAATGAGTTATATTTATAATAAATAAGATATATTTATTCATTTTGAGATAAAATTTTATGCGAATAATAAAATAAAGTTGCATATTTCATAATAATTTTACTTGATTATATAATATTCTTTAATCACAAGTTTTGTATATATGATTATATTTATTAAAATATAACGTGCATATTGTATATAATAATGTACAATGTACATATAATTCTTATATTAAATAGGAAATAATTATTTTTTTTGTGGAAAACTTTTACTCAATATTTTAAATATATTTCTTTCATCAAATTTTATTATAAAATTAAATTTATAATCTCAGTATTTGAAAATTCCGTTCATGTAGAAAACAAAATTGTAAGTATATGTATATATGTATTTTAAGATGAAATAACAACAATGATATTGTTATATAAATTTACTATATTGTACGGAAAACACGAAATCGAAATCATAAACTTGAATCTTTAGGTGGCAAAGAGAGTGCCATTTAAACGTTGAATTCTTATAAAATCGATTGTTTATTACCGGTAGTTCAAAACTTGGTGCTACAACGCCAGAACTAATGGAGCGGAACGAAGACATGAAATATTAATATATTTAATTCCCGCTGCAAACTAGGAACAAGTAAACAAGCGGAAGTCGACAACGAAGATTTACACAGAAAAAGCAAAACAAACATATACTATCTTAGAAACAGAGACTCTCGAAAGCAATACTGAATTATCTTATATTTTCTGCCCTCTGTTTATTAGTTAGTTAATAAATTTCAGTATTATATTCGGAGTGTGTTTTTAAAATCCAATATAAAATTTAATTAAATAAAATAAGTACAGTTTTAAATAAGTATATTATTTTTTTCGAAGATATATACACAATAAGCGCACTATGCTTATATGCTTCTATCAATTTGGATTCAATATAGTCCGAATTTGAAAATTTCTTTTTCTGCAGTTTAATTTTAAATTCCTCGATTAGTCCGGTTTCATTCTGGGTATTTAATAAATTATTCTATTAAAATTGATAAACATAAAGTTTATATTTATATTGATTTCAAAACATTCATTAAATATGCATAGAATATTCAAATATATTAAACATATGGATAATGGAACAGTATAATTATTAATAATATAATGATTTATATTATTTAAAAGAAATTTATATAATTTTAAAATTTAATGAGAAACATATTAAAATATGTCAAACAGATTGTAAATTTGTTTTCACGTTTAGAGAACATCGAAAGAAACGAATTTTATTATACTATAAACGTTACATGTTAAATTCAAATCTCGAGATGTATAAAACTGTCTCTCGTTTTATTTAATGCGTGTTTTATTGTTTTATATAAAGTTTTACGCTCTTTCTTTTACAACAAACGAAATCAATAAAAAATGCGACTATTTGAGAGAGAAAATAAAAAAAATAGATATTGATTGGATATGCGCACATAACGTTCGGTTCGCGATTTACTTGCCGGAATTTAGTAAAGGAATTAACCTGAATCCGTTGAGCGAATAAATTATCTAAGATTGAATGTCAATAATGTTTATGGGTAAAAGTATATCAGATGAGTGACTGGTATTGGTATTTAGCTGGTATAGATTTTTTTGGCCTGGATTTGTCCCAGGTAAATCATGTAATCGCTCTGTGGTAAATAGGCGTGCCTCGAAAGTCAACAATTTACAATATTAAGGTCCGAAAATAGAGAAAAACACTGGTAGCCTTAATTGTTGCACTCGGATAGATCGGGGCATATGGGCTCCAGTTTGTGAAACCCGAGCGTTCGATTTCATTTAAATACAATATGTAATGTTGCGTTGCGCAACGACGGGAATAATTGGCACGGCGAGGATTTAGTGTTCAGACTGTTCAGACGGAGAAAATCGAGGATTGGATACCTTTTGGAAGCATAAATATAACTATGTAATCAAGAAGTGGGCGGTAGGAATATATCGATTGTGTTGTTGCCGGAAACTTGCGACATTTTCCATTGAATTCATTATTTTTCTTAATCATCTTCTTGTGTAACAAATATTCATTCATACCATAAAATTTGAAATATTTGTTATTTAATTCAATGCGTGCAATAATTTTACGCAGTTAATTTTATATCGTTTACAATAATTAATTATACATATATTTACTTTATTATAAATTATACTTCAAGTTGTGTTCTACAATTTAGAATATTTTTATTTATAATCTATCTTGTTTGAATATTCAGTAATTTACTTCTCTATTGATAATTTAACTTGACAAGTTGAAAACTAACTTGGGAAATCCAGTGGTTTTGAAGCCGTTCTGTCGTTGAGTTGTGAGGCTGTTATTCAAGAAGATAACTGCAAGTGCATTTACATGTCGATTGACATGTAAATGCCCCCGTTTCCTAAGTTCTCCAAATAAGTTTATTTCTTAATTTTTCAAAAAAAAAAAACAAATCATGAGCTTTGTGCAAATCAATTAAGTTAAATAATAACCCAATTCTAGATAGATTAAATAATATAAACTCAACTATATATTAATTATAATATTAATGAAATTTACATAATTTAACTTAATTATGAGAAAAAAAAAGAATTATTCATTTGTTAATTTTTAAAAAAATATGTAACAAAGTGTAAATAATATAAACAAATTAGAGTTGCTGCTTTGACGTATTCTATAATTCTGCTTATAAATTTAGATTGACAACCGTTTTTATGTGACAGCTTTGTATTGTCAAAATCAAATTTAAAAAGATAATTTAAAGTTTGGTCGATTAGGTTTGAAATTGTTTCATTTTATCGAAGAATTATTCATGACACTCGGAGGGCGTTATATAACAACATCGCACGGCGTTATGTAACGTCATGATAGGTGCATGAAGATGTTGTATATCAATGTGGCGTCAATGGAGCGTGCAATGTGCATCGATGTTTTGCTGCTCTATCCTTTTTCACGGCTGAGTTAGTGTCAAGTTAGTGCAGTCCGTGTTGGTATTTCGCATTACCATAATGGAATCGTGCATGTGATAGGGTGGACACATCCAGTTGATATATCACGACCCCGGTGAGCGAACCAAAGCACACACAATCAATAATTTCATTAATAAATTTTGCTACCGCCGACCAAGACCTTATTACCATCATATCGCACAACTCAATTACGTAACGTCGACATCGTGATTTCTCTCGCAACAACAAAGACTTTTTACCGTCATCCTTAAAAGGCGCACACCGTCCTAAATGCATACCGAACCACTGGAAATGCATTCTTTTGTGACATCACGCAACAAATCTACTGAAGAAAAAAATAAGTAAACTCTAAGCTACGAAATGGCATTATGTAATTCGACTAATTTTTATGCCGATGAAAGGGAGAAAAAGACAAAAAAAAATTGCGATGGAACGGCTCTTTGCATCAATCTGAATTAAAGCGTAATTAGAGAAATTACAAACTTAATTTAACTTTCCCGTCAAAGAATCGAGCATTTTTTTTTCTCTTGAAAGGCATTTTAATTAAAGATTTGTCGAGGCGAAGTCAGCGTTTAACGAAGACGAAATCTTTTTAAATGGTCTTGATTGGAAATGCACGGAACTAATTTCTTCCCAGGGTCGTGCGTTGGTTGGTAGCTTTGCAACGTGAAAGAAAGTTTGTTATTGTTGTATATTTGTTAATAATCCGATAATTGGTGTACTGTGAGAGCGTTACCAAAGATCTCATCCGCATCACGCAATTTGCAGCAATTAAGTTGGAAAAAAGGCTACGCAATTATGATAATTATTGACACCGGGCATCGTAATCGTTGGTTTGCATCCATTGTCGATATGTAAATGGGGAAATTGAATTTATGAAAAAATATGAAAAATTAATTGGCTAATCATTAGAACTTCCATTGTCTTTTCCATAAGCTCTTTAGATCCAGCACAATAACAACCGAGATAATTAGCATCACTGTTGTAATTTCAAACTATTAGTCATAATAGGATTTATACTTAATTGAAATGCGTACATTATTGATTCAAACAAATTTCACAAGGATTATTTTCATTTAAATTTTGTCAGAATAATTTAATATTGTGTATTATTTAATTTCATAAAACTCATCAATAATTATTAATGCAATAAATAATAATATAAATATTTATTTGAATTAAAATATTTCGTATGAATAAATAAATGACTGACAAATAAATTGTTTATTAATTTCCATTTATTAAAATAAACATTTATCTGATAACTTAAAATAATTTTATTTAAATGTATTTGCTTTCATCAGTAGTAAATCTTTTGCGTGTATTAACAATATTTTAAATACAGGAAAATATTTAGTTCCTCGATTAGTTCGGATTCAAATAGTTCGGGATATTAGCGGAACCAATTTCCAGGACTATGCGAAGTATTGATGCATTTATATTTTTTTATAAAGCAAGTTATAATACTCTAATTTATGTAAAGAAACTAAAAATGTATGTAAAGAAATCTTAATCAAATATATGTAATTTGCAAAAGTAAAAATGATGATACCAAACATATTTACGTTTTACATTAACTTCCAAATGTATCTTGTAACAGTGCTGTATAATTATCATGTTAAATTAGAGTGCCTTACAATTAAGCCCTAAATGGTGAAATGTCACTGGTACGTTGTGTTTGTTGATGTGTAGAACATGCAATTACTAGTGTGTGTGGCATTTCGTGTTTTAGCCTTTAGCTTTTAGGAAGCAAATGATTTTCTACCATGGTTTACTGTTCGCCGGAGAATCAATATTTGCTAAGTTAAATGCATGCTACTCCATTAATGGATAAATTTGCATAAGACAAATACACGTTACTAAAATAGGAAAATCGGAATTACAGATATATTCAAATTAGGTACCAATTTACGATAATATTTTATAAAATTGCCTTTAGTATTTTAATATTATAAAAGACATATACACTTAATTACAGATCTGATTTAAAATTCTATTTATTTATCAGCATAAATGACAATTTGAATTGAATGATCATTATAGAAAAAAAGTTTTAATTTCATGGAAAATTTATTATTTTTTATACTAATTTCACGCATTCATATGTAAAGGTAGTATTATAAATATATGAACAAAAGTTTGTAAAAGTTTTCAAATATAGAAGTTTAGTATAATGTTAGTTGTTCTTGCCTTTTAATAGAATTATTAATATTCATATTTAATACACTAAACAATAATTATTTCATAAATAATTACAAAACTAAGTATAAAATACAAAGAAATCATTGTATTTATTAAATTCAAAGACATTGAATAAAATTAATTATAAATAACAAAATATACGGAAAAATATTACAAACTTTAGTACAAAATTATATAAATGTATTTCAAAATGATAGTAACTATTTAACGATTATAGTTCACAAATCAATATGCTTGAGTTCTTTGAAATAGTCTAAGATGAAGTCGCAATATTCTCTAAGAAATACGTATAGGCTAAATTCACAATGACTCAAAATTTTTAAGTATTTTTGCGTGTTGTACGTATAATAGCGTTATATGCCATCTATTTATTTGTATTTTTCAGTAATAAGTAATAAAATTGAATTTCAGATCACGATGTTTGCCCTCACCGTGGCCGCAGCCCATGCAGGAATTGCTCCAGCCTTGAGCTATGCAGGAATCGGTCATGGTTTGGGAGGACCAGGACTTGGTCTTGGGCTTGGAGGATACGCAGGTCACGGATACGCGGCCGCTCCCATAGCCGTGGCAGCAGCCCCAGTTGGATTAGGATATGCCGGAGGACACGGAGGAGGTCATGACGTCGACTATTATGTAAGTCCAACCATGCATAACGAAATAAGATTAACTTAAACAAAAACACGTTTCTAAACTGAATGCATCTATTTAGGCCCATCCAAAATACTCGTACAACTACGGAGTCGCTGATGGTCTGACCGGTGATCACAAGTCACAACACGAGAGCCGCGACGGTGATGTCGTTAAGGGGTCGTACACCGTAGCCGAACCAGACGGTTCCGTGAGGGTCGTCGATTACGTCGCCGATGACCATAACGGTTTCAACGCTGTTGTCAAGAAGATTGGTCCATCTGTTCATGCCGCCCCCGTCCACGCCGCTCCCGTTGTTCACGCCGCCCCAGTTGTTGCTCCGATCGGCGCTTACGCTGGACACGGTTACGCTGGACAAGGTTTGGGTGCTTACGGTCACGCTGGAATCGGCGGCTACGGTCATCATTACTAGGAAGACACGACCAAAACTCACTGCAAAAACAATTAAAGTAAATTATATATTTGTCCCTGTGCATTTTGTAACGTCTCATTGTTTCAAAACATATGAGGTGTGTCAGATTCGACGCAATTATTTATAATTATATAATTTACTTTAATCACAATCAACATTGGTACTCGACACAATCACTTTACGCTTTTCGTATCAACATATTTTTACATTTTATAATGTTTCTTACATAATATTTTATTTTATATACATATACATGTAATTTAAACGTTCGAAGTATTTTCTTATTTATACGTATATATTTTTTTCTCTCTATGACATAACTAGTTATGACAATGGCCAAGACTATCGCGGATTATCCATCTATCTTCTATTTACTTCTTTGTAATTAAATGTTTGTATTTTTAAGTGTACAAAGCAGTGTCCCCAAACTGTGTATGTGTTCTTCCTGTATAAATGTATTATTATATAATATAAAAATAAAATGTTTATGTCAAAAATACCAATATTTTATTCACCTTATCTAAAATCATTTTTATGTATTCCAATAATGTGTACTGAATGGAAAATACTATTATTTTTCATTATATACCTAATTATACAAAAAAAAAACAGTGAATATCAACAATAAAATAATACTTTATATATAATATTGATATCTATAAATTGAACTTTATTAGCCAACAATTTCAAATAATTAGAAGATATTAATGTATTCCAAATGATTACTGTACATGAAATTAAATTTAAATCAGTATTTACTTATATTGTTAAAGATATCAAGCAATTATATTTATGACAAAAAATCACATTATTCAATTAATCAAAAACAAATATTTAATAAAAGAATATGTAGTTTATAAATTTTTAAATGAATTTCCAACCGTAATTATTTAAGTAATGTATAAATAAAAAAAATCTTACGAATAATTATATAATTATTGCAACATAAAACATAAATAATATGTCTGCTCTACAAACCTCTGTTCTAAATTATGATATACGTTTGTATAAATACTTGTGGAAAAATGTAGTACTCGTGTTGAATAATGCATAACGTTGCGTATATATTGTTTTATTTTAATTTTATTGCTATGTTCATTAATGTTAAAAAGTAATAATGCATATTTAAAAAAAATGATTTTAGAAATCAGCAGTTTTCAGAGAAGAAATATCATATATAATATAAATAATGTCGATAGAAGAATGTCAATTAAAAAAATATCAAATACATTAATATAAAAGAATGTAAAAATGATGGTAGAAAGTAAAGTAAAGTAAATTTCCAATAACAAAAACGAAACAATATTTTTACAGAAAGATAATGGCTAAAGCGCGTTTATTATATTAACTCTTTGGGGGTCTAGAAATTCTTAATTTTTTAGACAACAACTTCGTCAATTGAATCAACATGGGATGGTATAAACTATCAAGATTTATCCCTTGGCATATCAACAAAAAATAATTGGTAATTCGTCTTTCCTGTAGATTTTTTAGAAAATTATAATAATGCCTTAACATTTATATTCAAAAGTGTGTCACCGCCCCTAAAAGAAATAACCGCATTCAAGATGTAGTTAGATCAGCGGTCGGGGAACTTTTTTAACCATTACCCCAAAATATTATTGCGTAAATCGATATTACCCCCCCCCCATCCTGAATAGAAAACAATCAATGTAAGTTTTAAATAAACATTATTTATTGAATTAATTTACATATTTATAAAAAAGAGTTACATGAAAATAGTAACAAATAGTAATAGACAAACAAAATAAAATTCTATAATTGGAACAAACAAAATTAATTGAAAACTTTCCTCCTTCAGGTTTTGGAAAAATGATGTTGCTTCATGTTTGATATAATTACTTTAAAATTGGGACTATTTTGATGTAAGAGCAATTTGAATACAGTCTTGGCGTTTAATCGATTTCTGTTTTTCGTTTTTATGTTCATTAGAGTGGAAAAGCCTTGTTCACAAAGGTAGGTTGTTGCAAATGGCAATACGCAATTTTTTTACAGCCTCCTCATGTGCAATTTTGAAAGCCTTTGCAGCCTTTGACAACCAAAAAGACGACAGATTTGCTTTGGTCTCAAATTGAATACGTGCTTCAGTATTGGATCGAAGTTCACAACCAAAAAGATTGAATACAGTATTGGATGGAAGTTCAAAAATTGCCTCTGCCAAACCTGGAGGTTGTTCTGGTATGTTAGTAATTTCACATTTAAAAGAATCTACAACACAATTCACAGTTTATACATCAAGATCTGAAAAATAGTCAGAGAA